AGACAGACAGACAGACAGACAGACAGACAGACAGACAGACAGACAGATAGAGGTACTTTTAATTTAAGCTGATTAATGATACTCAACCTAGTGACAGCACTGATTCAGCATGTTTTTTATCAAGTTTAAATGTTCTATTCTTAGTTATTGATCTTTATATGTGTTTCTTTATCTGTCTAGCTCCTCCTCGGTTTGTTAGCCGAGTAGAAAGCGCTTGTCTGATAGAGGGAGAGGATATCCAGTTTTCTTGCTCCACTCTTACCACTCCCTTACCACGAATCCGGTATGATGGTGCATTGGGATGATGTAACCAGAGCAAAGGGCAAAGCTGCTGTCTATTTTTCCATCTTTTGTCTTTGTGTTTTAATAAAACTGAATCGTTGTGCTTGCAGATGGTTGAAAGATGGCACAGAGTTGACCGACCACCATAAATATTCCATTGTGAACGACGCTCGGAGTGGGATATTGACTCTTACTGTCATCAGGGCAACCGAGGCAGATATTGGGCAGTATGAGTGTGAGGTATAAGACCCATATCCAATCATTTTCCAGTGTTTCTAGACAGCCTCAGTGGTATCACAAGAGACACTTGTTTTGTTTAGCTTTTGAATGAACTTGGCTGCATCAAATGCAAGGCGGGTCTGTGTCCTGCCTTCATTCCACCCACTGACATCGAGAGCGACGAGCCTCAGGACTTGCCTGTAAAAGGTATGACCACCACGGACTCTCAAGTAAGCATCCTCCACGTGATTGAGTTTTCACTGGATCGGGATAAAGCACATGCCATTGCCCGGTTTTACAGCCGGTCCCACCCTCTTTTTCTTGCATCACATCATGTGACATCTCTTGACTTCAAAACAAACTCCCACACTTTAGATCAGTTTCCCATTTCAGACACTATCATTCATCCATTCTTTCTGAATTTACTCACATACTTACAGTACATTTTCCTTTTCCCCCATTTCACACACGCTCACATCATAAATAGTTCAAACTACCATACCAATTGTCGCTAGATTTCCACTGATTATAGCACGGGCTGCAGCTTGTCTGGTTGACTAATGAACTCTTAAAAAAATAATCAATCCAATTTACATGATGACTAAATAAATAAAACATAAATGACTTCTAATTATTTACCAATATTATTTTGGGCTGCGCATGAGAAAAACATACTTCTATGTATGTGTCATCATTCCATAAAATTGCTTTTTTCATCTAAAAGTAAGAACGTGGCAGGAAATGTGTAATTTTTAAAGGTAATTATATTTCATCTTTATTTCCTGGTCGCTGCAATAGTTTTTGAATGCACTAAATCCACTGCGATAAATAAAAGTAACTCAGCGTATTTGCACTTGTAACTAACTGTAGCTCTTTGATCTTGAATATTCATCGCACACAGCTCTAATAACTGCCACCATGTAACTCAGCATCTGCATGTAAGTTGCAGTCTGGTCATGTGACAGTAACCCTAAATTGTAACCATGACATTTATTGTGCTCTGTGGTCATAATTAGTGGGATCTACTGGCTGCCATTCCACATATACATCACACTGTACTTCCCGACATCCTCTCCCATAAAAAGACATTGATACATTTAATGTATAGAATGTTTTTTTGGTGTTTCATCATGTTTCCACTTTCTACAGAGAGCATGGATAGTAACAGATGTGTTACCATGTGTTTCCATTACACCATTTCCTTTTACTTGCAGAAGTGAGCACAAGGATAAAAGGTACACAAAAGTAATGGAAGAAGAATAATAATGGTGATGTGTTGTTGGTCAGCAATATAAGCTGTTGAATATAACTGAACCATGTTAAAGGGGAACTTATTACGATCTTTATCTTTATTATTGAATCCACGTGTGTCTTTCCATCGTCCATAACAATACATATTTTTCCATCTTCCCTCTACTAGTCCTAAAGCAGGGGGTTCCTCACATGGATCGTTCCATGTAAGTCATCACTGTCATGATAACAAATAACCATTCAACATTCCCCTTTCTGCCCCCACCAACGCATGCCCAGCTAACTCTCCACTCCTACAAGATGGTCATGTGCTGGGCAAGTGTCCCCTTCTGGCTATGCAGGAGTGGGCATGTGCCCATGTCCTGTTGATGTGGTGGGTTAGTGGGGTGAAACCCTGAAGTCGTGAGGTAAGAAAGACAGAACATTCTTACTGTCTCTGGACCGTAAGGTAATGTGCCTTCCAACATTCTTTGTATTATTCCAATTGAGTTTGAACTGACTTGATATTATGTCATTATTCTTAATCTTTGAATTTAGGAATTTTGCTGAGTGGTGTTCTGGCTTTCATAGATGCTGATTCAGAGGGCTGGTCCACAACTTTTGTCAAAAAATGGTTACAAGCAGATTTCAGCCCCACATCTGTTGCAAAGACGCTTTTCCCTCCCGGTCACTCTGAGTGGTAAGTCCTGTGACCTGTAACATGTGAGTCGTGACCTTCCTTGTGCACTCTTTTTTTTTTTGAGAGAGCTACATAGACTTTTAGGTGACTCCTTAAGTTTGGTCCTCTATTCCATACCCGAGAGGCTTTGCAACCTGGAAATACTCTTTTTTTTCTTCTCTTTTTTAATTTTTCAAGCGAAATTGGCGACTCATGCAAATGGGACATCATCTCTTTTTTGAAAAAGCTGCTGTTAATGATTGTGAAATCAGGTCTTTGATTATTGAAGTCACTGATTTCAGATTTTTTTTTTTTTCAATTTTATTTTATTTACAAGCACGGAGGAGGATGTTCACATCTCTGCGTTGGATCATGCAGCACAGCAGCCCGTTTGTTACCAAGAAGAAGAGGAGGAAATGTACACTGAGCATATGCTGGAAATTACAGATGGTACTTTTGTCTTTTAATCGTATGACTGATAATGTTTTCTAATCTTATCTTGATAATGACTGACCTTTTTTTTTCTTTATAGCTCCTCCTTCGATCCAGGTTCCCACAGAGGATTTGTGTGTAGAGCCAGGCCAACCTGCAACATTTACTGCCATCATAACTGGAAGACCTACCCCTAGAATACAGTGGTTCAAGGTATGGAACTGTTAGGAATGCAGGAAAAGTCCTACCATGCAAGATACTGATTTTCTTTTTTTTTTTTTTTAAATGATTTTTTATTTCTGAATCTTTCCCTGTTTGTCTCGTTGATATTTGTCTCATCTTTAATGTTATCAGCCAAACCAAAAAGAGGACAGGCTTCTCATTTTTGTGCCACATTTTCTCACATATCATACATTGGCTGAAGATGTAAAGTAATATTATTGGATCAAATAGACCGTTTTCACTTTCCTATTTGAAGACAACTCTTCATCTGTGATTAAAGGATGGCGAACTGATTGCAGACAGTGAGAATGTGAAGATAGTGCAACATGGTGCCCGCTTTTCCATAACCATCGTATGCCCTGAAGGCGAGGACAGTGGCTCATACATCTGCTTTGCTCAGAATGACTCTGGCCATACCTCTTGTGAGGCTCGGCTTATAGTCGAAGAAGGTGAGACATGAGCGTTGAAGCCCTGCATCATTACTTCATTTATTTCCAGACGTTTTCCTTACGTTACTTTAAGAACAAATGTTTTTTTAATTTTATTTGTAGGTTTACTTGAGTCTCAGGAGAAGGAAGTGGAACTGGGAAAGAGAAGGAAGCTATTTACCGTCTATGATGTCCATGAGGAAATTGGAAGGTGAACATGACTCTTTTTATCTGGGCTGTCTGTCATCTTTTAGGGCATCAAATACAAACCTGTCTTTCTGCGTTTTAGGGGAACATTTGGGGTGGTGAAGCGTGTTATCCACAGGAGGACAGGTGAAGTTTTCGCGGCCAAATTTCTGCCTCTGCGGGGTGCCACGCGGACCAGAGCCTTCCAGGAGAGGGACCTGCTCTCCCGACTGGCCCATCCCAGAGTGGCCTGCCTGCTGGACTTCTTTTGCACCAGACGCACCCTTGTGCTTATCACAGAAATGTATCCTCGATTTTTCTTCATTGTGCTGATCTCTCCAAGCTAAATGTCACTGTGGACTTGAGGGCTCACATTTAACCTGTAAAATCTTTGACATTGTTCTTAGGTGCTGCTCTCATGGGCTTTTGGACCATTTATTGATGAGAGGCTCTGCCTCAGAAAAAGAGGTAAAACCTCACAAACTATTGAGATTTTTCAAATACGTTGCAGCCTAAAACTCTTAACGAATATCCCTTTTTTTATTTTAAAGATTCAGTTTTATATCCTTCAAATCCTTGAAGGAGTTGGCCATATTCACAGCTTGAACATACTTCATTTGGACATTAAAGTAAGAATTTTTCTTCAGTTGACATTTCACCACAGTTTTCATGCATGTATTAACCCCATGTTTTTTTGTGTAAATTTCCTCCATTTTTAGCCGGATAATATTTTAATGGTATATCCTCCAAGAGATGAGATCAAGATCTGCGACTTTGGCTTCTGCCAGGAAATAGACACGTCCCGGCACCAGTATAGCATGCTTGGTACTCCTGAGTTTGTGGCACCAGAGATTGTTCACCAAGAACCTGTTACTGCGGCAACTGATATTTGGCAAGTTGGAAGCCGAGTTGAGACTAAAATGACATATTTCTTACCTTTTCTGTATCATGTCTAAATGTAAAGCACATTTGTCTCTGAACAAATGTTAAACACACCTTTAATCTGTATATAGAATCACTTAATTTTCTTAATTTATCTTTTATTCTCTTTTTCCAGGGCTGTTGGTGTCATGGCATACCTGTGGTATGAATATATGTCTTTTACAATATCCCCAAAATTGATATTTTTAAAATTTTTAAAAACATTTATGTGATTCTTCATCTTCTATCGACAGTCTTGTGTGTCGATGCCCTTTTATGGGCGCCACTGACCGGGCTACACTGCTGAGGGTGGGGGAGGGGACTCTAAACTGGGATGCCCCGGACATTGTGAGCAGGAGTCCTGAGGCCAGGAATTTTCTGCATTCGGTCCTTCAACCAGATCCAGAGTACAGTACCACGTTTATTCTTGTAGTTGCATCATTCTATAGTCCAAAAAGCTGCTCCGAATAAAACAAAATTCTCTTTTCCGTATGACGTGTGTGCACTGGTCTGTTTATTTTGTTTTTATCTGCAAACGCAGATAAAATTATTGATGAGTTAGAAAGGATGGTTCTGAGCTTAGTTTATGATTATCTGAGAAATCAAATGCTTTTTACAAAAATATTCTGAAGATAATGATTCTTGGGAAATTCTTGGTGGAATGTATATTTTTTATGTTTTATTTTTTGTACAGGAAGCGGCCATCTGCTTTTGAGTGTTTGAGTCATGAGTGGTTCCAGGTAAGACGCAGTACAGAAAGTCATATTTAATTGTCGTTAATTATGAGATGACCTCTGAGATGAGAGATGTCCTGACTGTTGCCACAGGAGGAGCATGCAGGTGAAGACACGGATGAGATCAACACAAGGAGTTTAAAAGCTTTCGTCTCCAAGAGGAAATGGCAGGTGAGGAGCTCTGGTTGTAAGTAGAGAAGGACGACCTCACCGGTCCCCAACGTGGACTGTCAATTAAAGAAAGAATGTTTTGCCTGAATGCGACTTCACCAGTATTCACCCCATTCCCTCCCCAGCGCTCTTTGACGGCCATTGGCTCGGTGCTCACCTTGAGGCCCGTTCCCGAGCTGCTCGACGCTCCTCTCAGAGAGACGTCGGCGACGGTGCCCCGTGAGCCTCAGGAGCACAGCAGCACCTCCCTGAGCAGCGGCTCCTCGTCCGAGTACGACGAGGCCGACTCGTGGGATTTTTTCCAGCACTGCAGCCCGACGGAGGAGGAAGAGGAAACCGAGGAAGAATACGATCCCTTAACGGAGAGGGCACAGATCCCGGAGCCTTTTGCCAAACACCACCTGTATGAAGAGGGGGATGAGGAAGGAACGGTGGGAGAGGAGGAGGATGACATGATGGGGGAAAGGAGGAGTGTGATGGAGCGCAGCGTGAGCAGGCAGTCACTGGCATCGTCAACCACAACCGAACAACAGACGCCTCAGAGAGAGCGTCGCTTCAGCAAGGACAGCAACCCATCGCTCTACATTTCCGACGGCGACGAGGGCTCAGGGAGCGACGGAGGGCGCATCCCCCGGGGGAGCCTCATCCGCAGCACCTTCTACAACACCTCCCAACAGCTCTCGCCAATGTCCGCCAGGCACATGTCTCTGCGGGACAAGTTTCAGGCCAAAAAGCAGGAGAGAGGCCGCAAGCCTCTGCGGAGGAGCCTCTCCGGGCGGCTCAACGAGCCCCTCATCGAGTACGTGGAGGACGAGCCAGAGATGGGCCGGGGCCAGAGACGGGGGTCCGTCCAGCCCGCCATGCTGAAGTCCTGCTCCTTTGACAGCGGAGTGGGCCTCGTCCACGCCAACATGCCCCCGCAGAGGAGGAGCAGATCCTTGGATGAGTATTCCCGTCGGTCTCCCAGCTCTCCCGTCCGCGCAAAAAGAGGTGAAGAGGAGGGCTCCCAGAGTTTGAAAGAAGACTTCACCGACGATGAGGTGGCAGAAAGAAACTCACTGGCGACTTCGAACTCCCAGCGAGCTACCAGAAGAAGAGGTTCTGTCGCTCCGGTACAAAAGGCACATACACTCGGTGGATCATCTCTCACCCCAGGCTTCCTTGCTGGAGACAGATTGAAATCCAAACTGGATCAGGTGAAGGCAGAGAGAGATGCGTATGCAGGCTCCCAAGGCTCTCTGGCCGAGTCCTTTATTTTGGAGCATGGTGGTTCTGAGTCATCCAGCAGACAGGGCTCCTGCGAGGAGCTGACTCCCGGCCATCTCAGAGGCAGATACAAATCAGGTGATGGCTATGATGACCAGCGAGAGCCGCTGATTCCACCCTCCCCATGCTCTTTTCAGGAGCTGGAATCCAGACGTTCCTTTCCTCAGGCGCCGCCTCGTAATCGCACACGTTCCAATCCCAATTTATCCGCAAACGGCCGAGGTCAAGCCGGGACGCCACTGACGCCGAGCCCCAGTCCCAGCCTCTGCTCTCTACAGGCCCCACAGAGGCCCCCCAGGTCAAAGGACAAGAAAGAGGCCTCTGGTCTTCAGAGACATGCATCTGCTCCGGCCCTCGAAGCTCGGCCTCCCACCGGAAAGTCGCCTAAACTAGGACTTCTGAAGATCTTCCGCAGGCAGTCCTGGACTGGCCACTCCTACTCCCAGCTGGAGAACGCGGAGTTGGGACCCACACTTGGAGAGATCATGAAGCCCGATACACCCACTATGTCTCTAAGGAAAAAGATGAGAGCCTCAGCCTCCAGCCTGACCAAACTGTTTTCCAGGTCCTCCAGTAAGGAGGATGTGAACAAAGCTGGTGAGTCACTTAACTCCCAGTAATAATTATATCCACAGTTTATCCTAATTCTACACACATTCTGCATAAGACTTGGTAAATGCACTGCTCAGAGATAATGTATTGTTGTAAATGATAATAATAACTTTATTTGTAACTTGTGTCTACTTGGCAGGATCAATCGTAAAAGATCCATCTCCAACCCCAGCGAGTGGTCCTGAGAGTCCCAAAAAGAGAGGCTCAAAACTCTTGCCCTCTTTTAAAATTCCAGCATTCAAAAAAGCAAAAGGTAGCCAAGAAAAAACACCCAATGAGTCGTGTGCTTTTTGATTGTCGCTTACATTTTCTGCTGTGTGAGGGCATCTGTCTTTAACTGATTATCCAACATGAACCAGTCCGCCCCAACAAGGCTGAGGTGCTGCAGTTAGATGGAGGTGGAATCCTGTTGGTGTGGAGGCCCGTCCAGTCCAGTGACCCCATCACCTACTGTGTGCAGTATTGTTCAGAAGGTGGGTTCAGCAATGTCCATTTTGTGGTCTAAAAAAACCCTGTTACTATTGTTTCTGAGATGGGATTTTGCTGGCAAATAATTACGGTAATTACATTTTACTACTGAAATTCAAAAGAACAATATGGTTTTATGAGGGCGGTTGGCACACTTTGAAACGCATATAAAGAATGTTAAGTCAGAAAGAAATGAGCTATGATGCAAAAAATGTGATCAACAATTTACAAGATTTTAATTTAAGCTCACCATTTAAATGTCCGTGCAAAAGCCAAAGTGGGTGACGGCAATTGGATCCAAACAGCAGGCCGGCAAGTGGCAGACAAATGGAGATGATGCTGACGAGTTGGATTAACAACAAAATGTGCTGCTGATACAGAAAACCAAAAACTGAACATTACCGGGGAAAATCTAAACTGCTACTACTGTGTAATTTTCTTGTTTTATGTGCATATTGCGCATTAAACTTTTACCCACTCACTATTTTTTTCTATTGACCATTCATGGTTACAGTCTGTCTTACTTGATCACATTGCAAAGCCCTAAAACGTGCTTGGCGTCTCCTCAGGTGGGGAGTGGACCGTCCTGTCGGATGAGGTGACGGAGAGCCACCACGTGGTGAAGGACTTACCCAGAGGAGCCTCTTATGTGTTCAGGGTGGGCTGCATCACGAAGGCAGGAGCGGGGCCTTTCAGTGAGGCCTCAACTCCAGTTGTAATGGCCACTCACCCTGAAGGCAAGAAAATCCGTCCTGGATCATTGACTCTGTGCTCCCTGATATTAATCAGGCAGTTCTGTTTGGCTATTTAATTTCCCTCTGGGACAAATAAAGTATTATTTAAATGAATTGAATTAAACGCTAGCTTTAGTGTGTAATGTACAAACAGCTACAGCATGAGAGTGGGGACATTTCTATCTCCTTTTTCTCTTGTTTTGCAGACATCCACATTCCCCTCATTCAGACCGGGTCGCTCGGGTCAAAGGTCATTGGATCAGAAGGTCAAACAAAAAACAAGAACTACTGCTTCCTCTCTGAGATTAACAGGTAGCTGCAGCCATAGAGCTAAAAAAGTCTCTCTTTTGTTTCTGTCCTAAAACAATTATTGTGACTTGTGTTGTTAAATATCCTCCTCGAGGCGCTTGCTGTTCTCAGGGGTGCCTTGATGTCTGTAGACATATTTAGCCAATGTATCTGTTTGCATCGGTCGAGGGCGATGCAACCAGGATTTTACATCTGCTTCATGATGAAAGTGGAAGTTTATTGTTGAGATCAACATGAAGATTGATTCCAAAAATTGTCATAAAGCCAGCACGGAGAGCCGAATAGCTTCTTGTCCTTTGTTTTGTTTTTGCGTATTCTGTACTTGAATCTTCCCATATGAAGAATTTCTTTTGAAAGTACAGATGGATCCAGATGAGAATTAACCTCCATCATAAATGGTCTTCAACTTTATACTTCACTTAATTTTGATACTTGGCGTTCATTTTCAGCCATTTCTGAATTACATAACCGCACAGGTGGGGTAACCAGGGTAACCTGGTGATGATTGTCCATAAAGACCACTTGTCTTTGTCCCAACCATCAAGCAACTCTCCCCTTTCACGCCTCCCAGGGGTCGATTCAGCGTCATAATCTTGAGCAGGAATGTCGAGACCAGCCAGGTGTTTGCCGCCAAGACCACCCCATACCAGGCCGAGCAGCGGCAGCTGGTGCTGCGGGAGTACCAGCTGCTCCGGAGGCTGCACCACCCTCATCTGGTTCAGCTGCACGCTGCCTTCCTCACCCCCGGCTACTTGGTGTTGATGGAGGAGCTCTGCCCCGGCAAGGAGCTGCTCCACAGTCTGGCTGCCAGGTGAACAAAGTGCTGCGGAAGCCACTAAAAATAATTTATGGTCTATTTAACCAATAATATCTAAATATCTTTTTCCATTTTTCAATTCTCATCGAGGAAATTGTGAAAAATTCAGGAGTTTCTTGTGAATTTGGGTGACTTGTGTTTTTCCTCCCTCTCAGAGATCTGTACGCGGAGACGCACGTTGCAGAGCTGCTGGTTCAGATCCTGAGCGCAGTGGATTATCTGCACAGCCGTAGAGTCATCCACCTGGACCTCAAGTCCGATAACATGCTGGTGGATGACTGTAACCACCTGAAGATTGTGGACTTCGGCTCGGCCCAGTCCTTCGTGCCCGGGCAGCCTCTCACCATCGAGCACATCCACGGCTTCTCAGACTGCAGAGGTAACGGCTGCTCCCAAAAGGCTGAACTGGATTTTAATGCTTGGATGGCTGTAGATTGGTCTAATGTACTAAACTCTGGACTCTCATGGCCTTCCTACAGGCTGCCGCAAAGGTACTCTTTCTTTAAGGGAGGATGGATTGATGGAGAGAAATAACTCAGCCTAATGGCATCCCGCTCAGCTGATCCTAGCTGCCATAACCTAACACACCCACCTTTTTTTTTCTCCTGTTAATTTTTCATTTGAATTATTATTATTTTTTTTTTTTTACAAATACAGAACCTAATTGAAATTACTTTAAGGGAGAGTGCCCAGGTCTTCACGGATGATGTCGTGTTTCTGTCTGTTTTTTAGTTTATATCGTCCTTCCTAAAGCTCCAGAAATCCTGGAGGGCCAAGGGGTGGGGCCTGAGACGGACGTCTGGGCCATTGGAGTCCTGTCGTTCATCATGTAAGCACAGACGAATGGAAAAGTTTACGATTTTTGATAATTCGCACTAATTGGGAGTAGATACAGTCCTTAAATGAATTTGTGTGGCTCCAAACAGGGACTGGATGTTCTTTTACTTTGAGATGTGATTAAAGCTCCATATTCACATGTTTTGCATTCCTAGGCTTAGCGCAGACAGCCCGTTTCAGTCAGATCTCAGCTGGGAGCAAGACAAAAACATCAAGAAAGGGAAGATCCAGTTTGGACACTGTTACCCTGGTCTTTCAGAGGGAGCCTTAAACTTCATGAAGAGCAGCTTGAATAACAAATCCTGGTGAGTATCTCTCTCAGAACTTCATTCAAGCTGATAAACTTGTTTTTTTCCCCTGGCGGATGGTTGCTGTGTGTGCTTTGACTTTCTAACATCATTCTGATGCGATGAATGGCATTTTAGGGGGAGACCCACCGCAGCCGAGTGCCTCCAGAACCCTTGGCTGCGTGCCCATCGGACCCCGCACAAAGCCCGACCCTCCAAGTTGTGTTTCTCCACCGACAAGCTAAAGGCTTACCTCGCACAGAAGGAGGAGAAAAGAGATCAGGTGCGCACAAAGCTTCAGGGTCCCTTCTTCCAGTGAGGAGATGACGCCGGATAAGTGAGAGGTTCCCTTTTAAAATCCATTCAGCCGCACACAGCCAGTCATCTGTGCTTTGTGTGTCCCCAGTGGGACTCCTCATCTGGTGCATATGTGTACTTTAAACTTGCAATGCGTCTTAATGTGTTGTGGTGTGTCCTTATTCAATAGATAGTGTGGGCTGGAATTTTCTTGTTTAGGTTCACGTGAAAACACATCAGGGATAAAGCTCTGTCTAAATAACGACAAAACAGTGATGCGTGAGTTGTAAAGCTTTCATTTTGCAAGAAGACAGAGGTGGTTTGCTAGTAAGCTAACATGTTGGGCCTCACAGTAGAACAATTTGTGTTACTCTGGAACATACATACATGCACTGTAAAAAATTGAATGCCTCCAAGATATTCTGGGTCAACCATTTGTCTGACTAAGACTAGGAAAATATGCATTAAAATAACATAAATTAGTCTTTGGTCACTGTCTTCTTTATTTATTCTTTTCCATCTGGATTTGAACACGCATATGAAACATGACACTTAGCATACTCTAACATAATCTGATCTAATCGGGAGTGATTTTTCTCTCACATAACATCTTTCATGTGCAGAATGTTCTGATTACATCGTATTATTCTCAAATATGAATCAGTATACTTACTGTCAACTCATTAAGCTACGTCTGAACGTCTCTGCTTTTAGTAGAAATCAACAAAATGACAGTATGACTGATATTCTGAACACTGACTGGTGGTACGGATGCGTGCTCCACACATGAGGTGCAGCAGGGCAGCAGGGCCTGTAAAGTTTGGCAGTTGTTCAGTTGTTTTTCTTTACCAGCTGAGTAAAGTGATTACCGTCCCTCTAAACACCTACCTAACACAAATCCCCATTCCCCAAAGAACAAACTCATTTCAGCTCGATGCCCTTTCTGTATGTACTTTCATGAAAATGGAGCAAACAACTGACCCCAAAATACGGAGAAGGAAGAAAAAAACCAAACGAGCGCTCCTCCAGACTATTTCATGTGTGTTTGCAGTCCCTGATGGAGTTATTAAGGTCAGTTTCCCAAGTGCTTGTTCTGCGGGCCAACAGCAGCATAAAAGCATTATTATTCCCATATTACTTTGCCTCCTGGACTTTTTTGATTTCCTGCACGCAAAGAGAGAGAGGGAGAGAAAGAGAGAGGGAAGAAAAATACTTTAACTTGTAATTGGAAACAGATAAAACTAAGAGCCAGGAAATTGTCCTGGTTTTGCTTACTTCATTGAGGATATCCTTCAGCTCCTCGTAGGCTTTGTCTAGATCATCGTTGATGATAACGACGTCAAACACTCCCGGTTCTTTGCCTACAAATCAGAATATAATTGGCCTCACTGACTGTACAAACTTTAGACTCATGTCTCTGCAGAGCTGAGTTTAAACTTACTGAGCTCCATGTCAATGCGGGCTGCCTCCAAACGTTTCTGTAAACTGTCCTCCGTCTCTGTCTGCCTGTCCCTGAGACGCTTTTCCTGAAAAGACGACATCAAATGGGCTTCTTTATTAAAAAAAACAACCAAGAAAAATAAGTTGAGAAAATATCAACGCTGCAAATAATCATCCAGTCGAACACTAAATAAATGATTGTCACAGATAGTTGATTTTTTTTGTATTTAAAGATGAACTCGTACCAGGATCTCCATGGATGGAGGCTGAATAGAGATATAGATGGGGTTCAGATCAGTCTCTTTTATCCGTTTAACCCCCTGGATGTCCACATCTAGGATGCAGATCAGGTTCTGGGCTCGCACATCTTCCACAGCAGCTTTACTGAAAAGAAGAAGACTTTCATCAAGCAAAATTCAACACAGAAGGGCGGGGGGGGGGGGCTTGGCTGTGTTGATCCTATACATGTAATCCCACAAATGTATTCTTTTCCCATGCGGTGCCTGGGGTAAGAGGATCGCAGCATCGATACAAGCTGCTCAAACGCAGTTAGACAGCGTTATCTTCAGAATAAGAGGGAGAGATTAAATGTGACACACGAGGTGCTAAGCTGCTGCGTCGCTCTTTTTGACTCACGGGCTAAAGCCCCATCTGTCACCAGATCATGGAAGATCCTCTTGACCCTGGTAGTGATGGCCAAAGGCGAAGCCTTGATCTTTCTTTTTACATGACTGATACCATTTTATTTTTTTATAACAGACATTTATCATCATATGTAACCAGGAGAAAGAGTAAGCAAAAAAAAAAAGATATAAACTAATCTTAATTAATTTTTTTCCATGAGATCTACTTTAATGATGTTTTTTTTTACCTTGTTCCATACATGTTGCCAGAAAACTCTGCGTTCTCAATGAATTCTCCATTGTCAATGCCCTCCTGCATAGCCTCTCTTGTTGTGAAGTGGTAGTCTGTAAGATGCAACATTAGTGATGAATCTGGCTCTGCCAAGAAAACTGCGCCAGCAGCAAATGAAGTAAGTCAGAAGCACCTGTGCATCACAGAGGTCACAGTACAGGTGCAGAAACTCAAAGCTCATCAGAACATTTTGATGTTAAAGGCTTCATTTCTAGCATGTGTTCAAAAGGTGTTTCATCTCAGCCATTTGGTGCCTTTGTGTAAAACAATGACACAAAAACGTCTGGATGTGAAATGCATGCAAAAAGAAAAAAAAAGTTAAATGCTTTGCATGTGTGATACGTGTTGATTTTTAAGAATAAATACCGTGAGTAAAATAGAATGTAAGGTATCGTCCATACCCGATCCATACGCACAAATCGTCCAAACATCAAAACCTCTGGGGATCTAAAACAGCAGAATTTCAGAAGCAAACACATTACTACTGCTACCACTAATGGCCACATACAATCATTAGCATGGCAACCAGGAGGGATGGAGCACAGCCTGAAAAAAACATTCGGAGAAAACAAATTTGAGTCCAGTGACTCTGCTGTCTGCTATTAATAGATAAGAAAACCCTCCTGACAGGAGGGCAAGCTCTAAACCTCAGTAAGGTCCAAAATGAGCTTACTTCTTATGTTTTGAGGGAATTATGGATGAGCAACTAAAGAACAAAATTAAAGAAGGTTACAGCAGCATTGATTTCAAAACCCTGTTTGAGAGTTGCTAATGGTTGGATGTAAATCATCAACACTCGATCAGCCACTCTGGGAAATGGAAAAGCTTTTCGGGGTGGAGGAATTGGGTATCACTACAGAGGCATCTTAGGGGGCTATTTTCAAAAGCTTTTTACTCCAAAGTGTAGACTGTCTGATCTCGATTGATACATTTATTGTCCATGTATTAGTTAAAAAAAAAAAAAGGAATTTGGTTCCATATTTTTCACAACTAGAGCCCTGTAATCAAATGACAGCATGCCAGGATGATGAAAGTAACCCCCATCGCTCTGGCGTAAAAAACTGTGATCGGGAATCACAGTGAGATCACCTTTATCTGTGGTTTCTGATTCATTTGGACACGAAAATGAGGTTTCTAAGTCTTCAGAGGAAAAGACGGCCGCTACGGGCAGTAACGCAGCCCCCAGAAGCATGGGGAGCTTGTTCAGCCCTATGGAGAGAGCAAAAAAGGCAGATAGAAACGTTTAACCCTCGTCATGAAGGGGGCGACACAGGGTGACAGACACAGTTTGCGCAGTTCACTTGGGAGTAAGAAGTGTTGCAGGAGTTTATTTGTGGACTGGGCAGGAGGGGATGACTGGGGAATATGAAGGTAAAATGTATTCCCCACGTTTAGAAAAAGCCTTTAATTTTATGACGGGTGTGCAGGTTCGTGTCCGCGGCCTGGCTCGCTGGATGGAGCCTCACAGAGTGCGGTGATCCTAATTCAGGATTAAAGGTGCTAAAACATGGACTACTCACTCATATGGACGCTAAAAGGTATGGCCAACAAGTCTTAATCTCACACCACGGCTACTCTACCTTTGCCGTCTTCCTCTCCCGGTCGAGGGCTTCTCGTTGTGTCTGAGGAAAAAGGAGATCACAGTTGGAAAACAAACATGAGAAAAGACATTGAAGGTGGAATTTTGCACAGATGCTGCGAAAATATGGAGACATTTTTTTTTTTTATCTGATATGCTGGACGGTGCAGAATTAGGCATTGTGTCCTAAATCCTCCCGAGGCCGGGAGGATGCTACGAAGGCCAAGCCCTAATTGGCGCACAAACATACGTGACACGCTGAATCCGAAGACTCCTTCGTGATCCTTCATGAGCCTCTTGAGCAGCGTGCTCTTTCCGGCTCCAGAGGGGCCGCTCAGCACCACGGGCCTGGGTCCGGACATCCTTCTCTGACACAAACAAGGGGCGGACAATCAGCTCATGTAGGTGCCAGGACCAAAAATAAAAAATCCCACTATTTAGGGTCAATTCTCATGGGCGCCAACGGTGATTGTTGTTAGAAAACCATTTTTTTTGTTTTTTTTTAGCCAGTTTTGACCTTTTTCAGAACTCAGCCACTGCAGTGCTGGAGCTCACCAACTATCCTGTTAGCCGGCCTAAAGTCCAGTAAGGCTAATCCTTTGATCCAGGTTACACCGGAAGGAGGCACCCTGCACTCGTGCGCGCACAAACACACACACACATACACACACACACGCGCATCCTCTAACAGCCTGAAAAAAACAAGCCGTTGCTTTTATGGAACTGCAGTTTTAATCTCCATTAATAATTAGCCGGTGCAGAAAAAAAAAAAAGTTCTTCCTTCATTAAGCTATGAAAGAAAGTCCTGATTGCTGACACGTCGCCCAGCCGGAGGCCGCTGAGCTTATTGTTACGAATGCCTCTTAATGAAGTCACGGCGGGTCACTCAACAAGATTATTTGGATCTGATGGAGACGCCACATGGGGTCGAGGACAAGTGACCCACTTAACTGCTGTGCCCAGAAGAAGATGAAGCTTCAGGGACAGTGAAGCACTTGACTCAACTGCTTAATAAGACAAGAGAATGCACCACTCTAACGTTATAAACTGACTGTTTCACCCCGGAAGGTTTGATTATTACTGATAATCATTATGTGTTATTTAAGAATTCGATAAATATCAACAATTTTAAAGCTAAGAAAGACTGTTTGTGATTGACCGTCAGCAATATTAATTTACATCTTTCACATTAACACCGCAATAACAGCCCCCTGGTGTGATGCACGCCATAACAGGATGAAAGGTCAGCAATGGTCACTTTTGGTACTTAAAATTGAAAAGCGCGTTTCTGCAGAGATTTAAAATAAAAAATAAAAACTACTTGTTGGATAACAGCAGACTGAGCCACAGATGAAATTCTCCCGTTTCATTTCTTCTACAGAGTTGAGCAGAAGTTGAGGCTTACCTTTTTCTCTCAGCGCCTGTGTGGTCTGTGCGGACGTTCAGATGACCAGTCGGCTGGGCTCCCCGGTGCTCCGTCTGCGTGTGTGTCTAAGTGTGTGTGTGTGTGAGTGTGTGTGTGCGGATGAGCTCGTGTGGTGCGCAAATTCACTGAGGCGGCTGACTGTCAGTCTGAATTACCGCCACCTCCCGTCAGCTCGTTGGCCAATCGCAAGTGAGCAAGCCTGCTTATTGTTTCCATTACAGGGGGAAATGATTTTCAGAGAGAAATAATCATATCACTGAGGATATATTGCAGATCGTTTACTTCTTTAAGACCTTCAGAACTGCTGTGCATCAAAGAATGTACCCTGGATTGCCAACAACATGGCCTTTAAAACTAAAACTATATTTGCTGTATGCGTGTCTTATATGATTGTTAATTACAGACATGATCTCAGAGGATTCTTTGTTTAGGCTTCATGTATCCACTGAAATGACTTATAGTGACATGTTCAGAAAGCCTGGAGGATCTGGAAGCCAGTAGTTGATCAGATATTCAGCCTCGATGTGCAGTCATTTACCAAAGGTACATTTACTAAACTCCACCACTTCCCTTCCTCACACACTATGCTTGAATCTCGGGACCTGAATGATCTCACAGTAAAGGATCAGAATAGCGAGATTTAGTATATCCCTCCTCCAGATGAGCAGCCGTAGGTTGGGCACGGCTAATCTCGACTCGACCCACTTCTTAAAGAGCGGATTCACAACAAGGCCGTCGGGACTGGACGGACACGGGATGCTCGCTGTCCTCAGGCGCCCAGAATCTGACCCCCGAAAAGTCTGTAACCCGCCACAGCCAGTTGCAGAAAAAAACCCAAAACAAACAACAACAACTTTCAGACACCCATTTTATTGTAGTAACGCTGATAAAAGTAGATTTAATGGTGCAATACAAAGAAATGCATCAATGACAAAGACAAAATGAGCCGGACGCTAATAAGGTCATTGTAAATGTTTCCAACCTAACGCAGCTAAACGAATAAGAAATTAAACCGAGCGGAGACAAACTGTACAGTAAATACAGCTGTGTTGTCCTACACAACATCGTATACGCACACCACTCCATACACACCCCATACACACATACACACATACACACATACACACATACATACATACATACATACATACATACATACATACATACATACATACA